ATTTCACCTCCACATCAACAGGGTTTCTGTTAGTTTAAGTGCACAGCAGTTGAGTACACAGCATAAGCTACCATTTTAACTTTAGTATTAGTAAGCACAGCATTATCAAAAATATTATTTCAGATAAACTTGAGCAGATGTAAAGGATTCCCCAACTTATTTTACTCCAATTTTGTAAAATTTCTTTTTAATTCTTTATGGTATCTGGGTATCACAGACAAGATCAGCACCTATTGTCTACCCCTGCTTTCCCTTAAGATGATGGTGAGCCATTTTCTTTAATTGCTGCAGTTCAGATGGGTCAAGCAGATCAGTGACATTACCAGCTACCGTTTTCTCCAAAAAGAACAATGCATCCTTTGCCCTGACCAATATTTATCCCTGAACAAACATCACTCAAAAATAGACTAACTGGCCATTCACTTTGACTACTGTAGGATCTTGTCTGCACAGCGGACTAACTGGCCATTCACTTCTTGAAATGTTGTAGGATCTTGCCTGCACAATAACAGTCACTAAATCGCAAGTGTGTTTGCTGACGCACTTTGGGACTTCCCAAGGGTGCAAAAAAATGTGATGTAAAGTCAAAGCTTCACCAAACTGAAGGAAATAAGCTAGGCCTAAACAAAAATTCTGTAGAAGAGGAAGAAAGGTTTGCATTTGGATAGCATCTCTCACTACCTTGAAGTCACAACTCTAACAATACACAGACTGTAATGAAGGTGGAGGCAGGGGAGCAAAGATATTTATAGGGACAACATTGAGAATAATGTCTGCTGTCTAAACTTGATAGATGGCCTTCATAGCAGCCCCATAATCCATGAGTCACTGTTAGCAACACAACAGGAAATCTAAGAAAGTGGAGAAAACAGCCATTTGCTGCTGGATGGTGAATAACCCTAGCCTCAGCTATTCACAAGTACATTACAGGCAAAAAAAAACAACTAGGGAGAGAATACAGCCAGTTAAGATCACTGAGGCCATCTATGTGTGGAACCACAGGAGATGGGTGAGATACTAAACGAATATTTTGCATCAGTATTTACTGTGGAGAATAAAAGAAAGCTAGCGATCTCAGGGAAACAAACAGTGATGTCCTGAACACAGTCCATATTACAGAAGAGGTGGTGATGGAGGTCTTAAAACATATAAAGGTAGATATGACCCTGTGACCTGATCAAGGATATCTCAGGACATTGTGGAAAGCTACGGAATAAATTGAGACCCTTAGCAGAGAAAGTTGTATCATCATCAACAGCCACTAGTGAGGTGCTGGAAGACTGGAGGGTGGCTAATCCTGTGCCTTTATTTAAGAAAGGCTGCAAGGCAAAGCCAGGGAACTATAGATCAGTGAGTCTGACATCAGTGATGGCTAAGTTGTTGGAGGGGATTCTGAGAGACAGAATTTACATGAATTTCGAGAGCCAAGGACCAATTAGGGTTCGTCAGCACAGCTTTGTGCGTGGGAAATTGTGTCACACAAAATTGGCTGAATTTTTTGAAGAGGTGACCTAGATGAAAGCAGAGCGGTAGACACTGTCTACACAGATTTTAGCAAGGCTTTTGACAAGGTTCCGCATGGTAGACTGATTAATAAGGTTAGGTCACACTGGATCCAGGGAGAGTTAGCCAATTGGATACAAAATTGGCTTGTCAGTAGGACCACGGCAGGACTAACATAGTTAATGGGAGGGCCCTGGGGAATGGTGTCAAACAGAGAGACCAAGGGGTTTAGACACGTAGTTCCTTGAAAGCAGCATCACAGGTAAACAGGGTGGTGAAGAAAGCATTTGGCACACTTGCTTTCATCGGTCAGAACACTGATAACAGGAGTTGGGATGTCATATTGCACCTATACAGGACGTTAGTGAGGACACTTTTGGAGTACTGCATACAGTTCTGGTCACCCTGCTATAGGAAGGATATTATCAAATTGGAAACAGTGCAGGAAAGATTTACAAAGATGTTACCGGGACTTGAGTTATAAGGTTTCGAGTTATAAGGAGAGGCTGGATAGGCTGCGACTTTTTCCCCTGGAGCATAGGAGGCTGACGGATGACCTTAGAGAGGTTTATAAAATCATGAGGGGCATAGATAAGGTGAATAGCAAAGTTCTTTTCTCTATGGTAGGGCACAGCTTTCAGGTGAGGGGGGAAAGATTTAAAAGGGACCTGAGGGGCAATATTTTCAAACAGAGGGCAGTGCGTATATGGAATGAACTGCCAGAGGAAGTGATAGATGTGGTACAGTCACAATATTTGAAAGACGTTCGGACAGGTATTTGAATAAGTTTAGAGTAATATGGGCCAAACACAAGCAAATGGAACTAGTTCAGTTTGGGAAACCTGGTGAGCATGAACGAGTTGGACCGAAAGGTCTGTATCCGTGCTGTATGACTATATCTGAAAGTGGTGATATTTTGAATTGAAAAACTAACTAATGTGCATCAAATGGTGTAGGTCAAATTCTTAAGTAGTGACTACAAAAATACTTCATTGGCTGTAAAGCCTTTGAAATCTCACAGTTTGTGAAAAATTCTACAAAAATGCAAAACTAATTTAACCCAGAATTTTACAATGTAATCAGAACATTCAGTTACTTTTAGAAATATAGGTTATTTAACTGCTGTTTCTTGGATTTAAAGAATTAAAATTGATCTGCCATTATGATTTTTAGCTGAAAAAGACTAGGCATATTTAATGATTCATTATTTAATTTGTACATACAAACATTTCACATTGACTGCTTTCTACAGACAAGCTGTGGCATTCTCAACAGAGCCACATAAACAAAACAATGCAAAAATACTGTTATTCCCATTCACAAAACACACCATCGCAGACTGCAGTTTCCCATTCACAAGTGTGGTTTGTGCAGGCCAACAGATAATGCCCCAAAGTTCCACGTTATCACTCAAGTGAATCTAGAGCATAATCATAGCCATTATACCATGGAGTGATATTTAGCATCCAAGATCTCAAATTCAAGGATTCTTTGGCTTAGGTAAATGCTCAAGTCACCATTTTGCATTAGTGCAAATGGGCACAGGATCATACTAAGGTTGAAAAAATCTTTTCAAATGAGGCTGTTACATGTGCCATTATCTGTGTAAGTCCAGATTGCAAATGCCAGCTCATGTAGTGCGGATCATTGATGTCATCCACAGGACTACTGTCTTTAAACAGCTGTCTTTAGCCCTCTCCAACAACGCACTTCCATTTAACCGACCCCACCCCCAAATTCTTTTTCTTTCTAAATGTGCTGCAGCCATTGACATTGGGACACCAACCAGCACTGCATCTCTGGTGCCCATTTACTTCCGGAAAAAATGGGTATTGCTGAATGACATTGCCCAAAACAGATCCTTTTCTTGTCTAACGTTCATACATGGGCATTTTACAGGCCAAAAAATGAAGAAGTCAATTTGGCTGCTTAACCTGGTCTGTGAGAAGCCATATTGATTGTAGGCAACACCTTAATCCAATAAATAGTATGTTTTCCAAATGCTTATCAGATGTACAGATGCAAAATGAAACTCCAACATTCCCAGATCATGCTTGTTGTATTAGATGTTGATAGCGGACATTGGTCACACACTGAATTTAAAATCTTCGAAGACATGCACCCCTTGGGGACTCAACTGTTATCAGATTTAAATACTCCACGTCTGCATCTCAGTCCCTGTAAAGATAATGTCACAACTGGCTTTGTCCAAGTCCCAAGATATTGAGCAAATCAGAGCTATGTACAAAAGGCCACATCAACTTGCATATTGGTCCATGGAATTTTATGAAGAATGAGTGCAACTTAAAAGATTCATTATAAAAGCTGCGCAAGACAATGCTATGCAGGATTATTCGCCACACTGCACCTTAATAACTCTATTGTCCAAACTGGTCATTTTATTTGATAAATTGATAATTTCCATTTGCTACAGGAAAGTGGATTTGTTTTGTTGTTCCCACTGCTAGTCCAGCTGTTTAAGGGGTAAAAGCCATAATTTCCCCATAACTGTATTGAAGTTGGTGGCGATGGGGCAGGGAGCACTGAAGAATACAGAGATGAGGGATGGAATCTTCACCCATGTTTCAACGTAGTTTAAACTCTTCACTGAGAAACAATTCTTGTCTAGCAGGTTATACACTAAAAGGGATCTTGTTTTAGTTGTGGCCATTGTCAACAATAAATTATTCCACTTACTTCAAGTAAGGACTTGGAAGGAAAAGACCATTTGGTCCCCCTCTGCTTATCTGATCCATTGGGTGCTGTGTCAAAAAAAGACTAACATAATCGAGAAAAAAAAATCTTCTCCACTTCCCTGAGACAATCAAATAAGCTCCATTAACAAAGTGGTCATTCAAGATGTATCACTCAAGATTCAAAATTATTGAAAGGATTTTCTCTTTCCAAAGCTTATTTTAAAAAAAAGCCAGTTTACCTCCTAATTGTCTCAAAACACTATTTTGGAGAGCTTGTTAAGGATCTGTTTAAAAAAAAAGTCATATTTCATTAAAACTATTACCTTAAGGGGTAATATTTGCAGTGCTATGGAGAAAAAAGGCAGGAGAGAACAGAGACACAATGGGACGAATGCCCCACTTATATACTGTATTTTATGAATACTTTGAAATGGGAAATCAGTAAATCAGAAAAAAAAAGCAACACTGTGCCTTGCAGATCTGAGACCTTCCTTTCCCTCCCACTCCCAACTCATTTTCGCCTCTGTGAATAAGCCCAACGTATTGATGAAAAAGGATACCAGTCAACACTGCTGACTTCCACCCATTGACAACAGGAGCTTACCACCAATTGCAGAGATCTAGGAACTGGGTTCTAAAACATAATGCAAAATCTAAGTAACAGTTACCGTAAGTAATATAGTAAAAGATTTGCATATCTGTGTACTTACCAACTCCTCCCCAATTTCTAACAGAAACTCTGGGTTACTCACATCTGCTCTCCACTGGTCATACCACATCACTACTAGCAGGAGCGTGTCGTTACAGAGAAACAAGTTTTAATGAATAGTTTTTAAATACGGAAATAATTTATAATAGGACAGAAGTCCGATTTTAAAAATGTGTCCTGATTTAATTATTCTTCCAGCCTTTAAGTTTGCTGAAAACACTTGAGTGCAATGTCACAGAATAGATTAGTACTTGTAGATTTTGTTGAATGCAGTAGAAACACATTTTTCTTAAAGACTGATGCTGAGGAACACACACAGACACAGACACACACACACACAGACACACACCCCTCAGTTAAAATATTTTAGCCACCTTGACGTCTTGGCAGCAATGAAATTGAGAAAAAAACTCAATTCAACTTGACAAATAACAGTTGAGAAAATTGTTAAGTCACAACGCAAACATTTGAGCAACATCTGTGTGTTTAATTATTTGCCTCATTTCAAACATCTTAAGAAACACAAAGGTAGTGGAAAGTTGAATACTCATCTGTAACCATTGCTGCTGAGGCTCACTTCAGACAGCCAGCTCTTCCTTACAAAATAGTATGAATCCAAAGATGGGGATTGCTCACAATTTAATTTCCCCCTCTACATTTTTGGAAAACGTCCAATACTCCAGCCTTTCAATGTTATTGAAATTATTTTGCTCTAAGTTACTCCTTACCACACTCCTTCATGTTAAGTCAGTTGTGCCCTTTCATACGTCTTTTTTTGCAGGGCTTCCAGCTGCAAACACATGTGGGACCTCTGAAATTCTCACTCATAACCTGACAATCAATGATTTTAATTGTTTGCAATGACATTACGAGTGGTAACAACAGACAAGACTGACCTTTCTGGATAGCTGGAAGTTAGACAACTTTTACTGTTTTTATAAACATCTATATATAATTTATATAATTATATAAAAATATAAAATTAGCAATGACCATAAATTTATTTTCTTCATATACTGCGTCATCCCTACTCAGTGGTTCTCTAGACCAGTGATTGTAAATAATTTTTTTTTAATCCCTTCGAGTTACAGCACATTAACTGGATTAACACAGTACTATCTGATAATGAATGGGTGCTGTACAGTGTTAAACAGCAAGTGAATAAAATCCAAGCACAGAGAGGCAAAGGCAATCAAGACACCTCAATAGCTTCCTTTATTAAAAAAAAAACTCATCCTCTCCACATCTTTTTTCTCTTAAAAGGCTTTGGTATGAAATGGGTGAAATGAGCCAATACTTGATGTTAAGTCTAGAGTCCTGCAGGTTCGACCTGCCAACCAGCCACACAGTCTCCAGCAGAATGGCTGCTGGAGAGTCAACCAACAAAAGGATAGCTCAAACAAAATGCCAAGACTTTGAATGTTCACCAGCACTATCCACTTCCTAGCTTTCCGTGCAAGTAGAAGCAGCAACAATGGTTTAATAAAAGCAGGTAGCTAGTGACAGAAGAAAATTACAGTGGGGGGAGGGGGTGGGGGTTGGTTGTCGAACTTAACCGCTTGTCAGATGCATTCCTGCCCTCAGACTGGGAGACTTTAGAAGTTCACTGGTTCTAAGCTTAGAACCCCACAACAGCAACAACAGTGACTGGACTGGTGCAGTACAAGTTGCTGAAGCAACACGCAGCAGCTAATGTTCTAAAAGCAGCAAAAGAAAAATCAAATAAAGCTATGGGTCTTCCAGATGTCTGGAGTCCAACACATTGCACACAATCATCTTTAGGTTTGCATGGCAGTGACTGTTTGGTCTTGACTCAACACACAGATCAACTTGCTCATGAGTTACCAAGAAATTCCATATATCCTGATCATTTCAAACCAAACAATCAGCACTGTACCTTCCTCTACATTACATTCAACTTAAAATAAACAGGAGCCCGCCTTTTTCTTACTGAATGAAATTTCCAGCTGCAAGCACCTTCCACATGAAAACAAGACCATTTCCAGGAGCCTCTACTGCAGTTTTTGGTCAGCTATGTTCCAAACATAATAGCACTAGGAATTTCCTGGTCCTCGGTTAAATAATCATGACATACAAAGTAAAATAATATGGCTGCACTTACGTACAAATCTGGCAGTGGTTCACTCTCCCCACGTAGCCTGCCTTCAATTGTTCCCAATGCCAGCTCTGAACTACCAGATGCAAACATCTATGTTTATAATACTGTAATATTAAACCATCTCCCTAGCTTGTAAGTGGCAACACCATATTCAGCCCAAACAGTGTCAAGGCCAAGAAGAAGGCAGTTTCATGACAAGCATTATGCTGAGTTGGCGGTTATTAAGGAAGGGATCCCACAAGCTTTGCAGGCCACAAGAGATCCGGACTCAGAAATAAAAGAGAAAGTCATGTCTACGAGGCTCCTCTCAGTCGAGTTAGAGATGAGCAAAGTTGGTTCCAGAGCAGACTGTTTGATATATTATTCCAATAAGGAAATTACGGCAGGCTGAATGTAATATTATATGGGGATTCAATTGCATTGGGAGGAAACTACAGAAGAATCACAATGTATGCCATGAACACATTTGCATCCTAAACAGCAAATGTATGCCCACGTGATGGTTCTCACTGCAAACAGTGATCTGTCCAACCCTTGTAATCTGCTTGTTTCCCTTGTTAAAGGTAGTTTGAATAGGACAAATGAGTCCAACATGCAAGATAACCGAAATGATATGAAAATTTTTGGTTAAACGATCCAGGAACCAACTTCACAAAGTAGAATCAGATAAAGCAACAGCAAGCCATGAAGCCAATCACTGTTTTGAAGCTGGTGGAAGTCACTATTTGTGGGTCATTATATTCTGCATATACCATCAATGTAGCCAGAAGCTCCCAGCTCACTGTAGAGACATGCCTGACTTTGAAGAGTCACAGCAGCAGACTCCACACCCCTCTCTCTACTTCCACTAGTAAAGCTCACTAGCCGTCACAGTAATGATTGGCCCCATCTGTAGCTCTTTTCATTGTATCTGGTCATCATGTATGCAGAACCTTGTCCCGTTCTGTCAAGTCATACTTACAATGGTTGACAGTGATCAACTTTGTCTTATCACAGGCTCCAGCCCTATTGGTGTATATACCGACCGACAGACAGACAGACACACACACACACACGTACACACACTCGCGTGCGCAGAGCAAGAATAGCTTCATCAACTCTCTTATAACCTCACAACAACTTAATTTTTCTACAGCGATTCATACAGTGGTATGTACAGCGGGCAGGCACTAGGTCTGAACCCAAATAGCGAAGAGTCAGGTTAGCTCCAACCATGAATTGTGCAGTTCCAGGCCAAGTGGCAGGCAGGAGCGAATTCTGTTCCCTTACTCATTGACTGTCCTTGAATGGTATCTTTCACTAATTAACTATACAATCACTATAAAATACTGATTAGGAATGCTATTATACAGTGTCCTCTAACAAAGTGCTTTATGTAGCCCATCTCTTAGAATAAAGGTGATTGTCTCTTTTGTTCACATTCCAGGTGGGTGAGCCACAGAGGGAAATGGCGAAGTGAAACCAATCTCGGCAGCGGATGGTGAAGTTGCAACATAAGACCCTGATGGAGGCACAGTCTGTGGAGGGCTGCTATTCACACATTCCAGGCTGAAACAAACACAATAAAAAGGAAAGAGGTGTTGTTAGGATTGGTTCACTGGCACTGTTGGAGGAAGGACCTAAACACACTTCCTCTGGCTTTCCTCCCAAATTTCCCTTTCCTTCTTAAGGGATTGATATCGTTTGTATTTAACTTTTGTAGTGGGTATTTAGTGGGTATCTTTTGCAATAAATTTCCAAGGGTCTTCACAGAAACATTATCAAACTAAATTTGACCCTGAGCCACATCTGGACACATGATGGCAGATAACCAAAGACTTGGTTAAAGGAATTGAGAGTTTGATCTGTAAAGTGGAGAGGGGGGGGGAAAGCAAGGAATTCCAGAGCTTAGGCAAAGCTAACTGTAGGGATCACCATCAATGGCAAGCAGCTATAACAGGCAGGGGCAAAAGACCAAAACTGAAGCACTGAGATCTCAGAGGGTTGAAGGTGATTACAGGGGCAACCACCACCTTCATTTATGTGGAAATTTTAAATCCAGTATGGGCATCAATACCTCCCTGGTTCCTTACCCAATTCCTCACCCAAGTTTTCTGGTAATAAGAAACAAGAGCTGTGGTAAATTTTCACCTGCTCCAGCACTGAAGCAATTGTAGTTCAATCAAACCCACAAGGTTAGGAGATTGGGATAACAGAGTAGCTTTATTATGGATGACTTAAGCCAACATCTGGCTTAGGAGTCAGTCAGTTAGGGGAAGGGAACGGAGCAGGAAATAAGTCAGACAGTCTGCTCTTTCTAGTGTCCCCTATTAATAAACATTAATGGATAGATACCAGAAAAGATCAAGATCTGTTGAGCTTGTAAGGCACTTTGCTTTTGATGTTAACATCAACTCAGATATGCTGTGCAGGAACAACCAGTGCCTCTGGGACAGGAGAAAATAGAAAATGACATTGAATAGAGGTTGCCAACTGTCAATCTTACAGTCACTCAAAATATTACATTTATTAATAGGTTCCTACAGTTTCAGAGCAAGCATCAGTAGAGGGTGTAAGATATCTATCTGGGTGAAATGCACCAGAACTTTAGATACAGTTTATATCATTTCTACTGGAGAGAAAACAACCTACGTTCTGCATACCTGTGTGAAAGCAACGGTGTTAGCACAGCAGTCTCAGCATTCCCGATCCCGGGAACGCCACTGACAAACAATTTCTTTGGAGGAGAATCCACTTCCATGTCACCTGTAGGAAGAAGCAAAGGTTATGAACTGAGAGCACGATACAGAGAGAGAGAGACAGAGAAAGAGAGAGAGAGAAAAGAAAAGGAAAGAGAACACAGCACGCACAAGTTTTTTAACTACAGCAATAGTGGTAAGAAGTTAAGACATCAAGTTGTAATGAGTGGCAGACACTTAAATTTAGTTTCATTGGGTCCTGCACAGGTATCAGTACTATAGAACTCTGGTATTTTTTTCTGTCACACTCTGCCCACTATGGTAGTTACAGATGTCACTGTTTCATTATTGCAAAATGATTCAAGTGGGTAAGCCTACAGATGTAAACATACAACTTGTACAAGAGGATTGGATAAGGTTTATGCAATGCTCAAGTAAAGGTGGCATCAATCAGGGTTTTAATACTTGCCATGTCACCTTCAATAGGAAGATGACGACGAAGCAGTAATGTCACTGGACTAATGATCCAGAGGCCCAGGTTAATGCTCTGGGGACACAGATTCAAATCCCAATACAATGGAAGGTGGAATTTAAATTCAATTAACCAAACAATTTGGAATTCTGGTCTCTATAATAGTGATCATGAAACCATCACTGACTGTTGTAAAAACGCATCTGGTCCATTAATGATCTTCAAGGAAGGAACTCTTCTGTCCTTACCTCATCTGATCTACATGTGATTCCAGGTCCATAACAATGTCACTGACTCTTAAGCACCCACTGACATTTCTGATGTATATTTTTACTACGCTAATTAAAAGTCTTATGAAATTCATCTCCAGCACTATTTCAAAGCATCTTTGAACTTGTTTGAAGTAAATTGTTTATACAACCATTGCGACAGCAGAGATAGGAACTGCCAGTTCCACAGAAGAGTCATACTGGACTCTTCTTCTCTCTCTCTCTCCCTCCCCAGAAGATGCTGCCAGACCTACTACTTTATGGTTTTGTTACAGACAAGAACTGAATGGGAACAGTTCTCAATAAGCAATAAATAGGGCTGATAAAAAAAAGTTTGGACTCAAATTGATCCTTTAAATTTTTATTTGAAAAGCTAAGACTCTAGTAAATGCTGGTGTGCAGTGGGAGTATTGTGTCCTTGTATGTGAATTACAGCTCCGGTACAGCAAGCAATTATGAAAGCAAAAATGTTGGTCTTTATTGCAAGAGAATTGCAAGGATAAGGGTAAGAAGGAGTACTGCTATTCTACAAACTTTAGTGAGACCATACCTGAAGTATGATGTAATTATTAATGTCCTCACCCAGGAAGGATTTATTTACCTTTGAGCGGGAGCAATGAAAACTCAAATTAAATTCCTGGAATTCTAATTCTAATTCTAATTGTCCTGCAAGTAGAGATTGAGGAGAATAGGTCTACATTTTCCCAAGTTTAAAATAAAAATGAATTAATTCCCCGAGGTTATAAAATTCTTAAGAGGACTTGTCATGTTGGATGCTAGGAAGAATGTTCCTCTGTCTGCAAAATTTAGGTCAAGTTCTGAAGAACAGCTACTGGAGTCCTTTGGTTTTTTTGAATTTAGGTCAAATTTTGGAGGGGGAGGAGCAGTCTCGAGATAAGGGCCGAAAGAACTGCGGATGCTGTAAATCAAAAACAGAAACAAGAACAGAAATTGCTGGAAAAGCTCAGCAAGTCTGACAGCATCTCTGGAGAGAAATCACAGTTAACATTCTGGGTCCAGTGACCCAACAGTGTCCAGTGTTCTGAAGGTTTTTCTAACCATGGATGCCACCTGCCTTGCTCATATTTACTGCACTTTCTTTTCTTTTCTCTTGACTCCGCAATTTTTTTTGTTCAAAAATCTCAGTGAAGAAGATTTATAGAAGAACCTATTAACAATTCAGAACTGGGTGCTAGCGCACAGCACCAGTCCCATGCCATGCAGGTTGCAAGTTCTACACTAATGTTGGAAATAAAGTCAGTCTGCAGCTGAAATAGAACGGCAGGATCAAGTTTTGTTACGGTGAGAGATCCCTCCTGAATTGCTGACCTTTCCTTCTTGTTACAGATGCTGATGGATTTGCTATATAATTCCTGCAGCTTGCTCGCTATTTTTGCACTGGGTTCACTCTTTAGGTACTGCTTTTTAAGTAAATGTTTAGAGAATCAAAGGGGAGAAAACCTTCATGTATAGAACGGTTACAGCAGAAAAAGGGGGCCATTCTGCTAGTTGTGTTTCACTGGTCTGCCTCCTCCCTGCAGCCCTGCATAATCTTCCTTTTCAGGTATTCATCCACGTACCTCTCAAATGCTTCAGTGGAACGGGCCATCCCCATACTCTCAGGCAATACATTACAGATCCCAACCCACCACTGCAAGAAAGTCTTTCTCTATAGATCATCTTTGCTTCTTTGATCAGTTACCTTAAATCTGTGCCTTCTGGTTCTCGATCCTTCCACCAATGGGAACAGTTTCTTCTTCTCTACTCTAACCAGACCCTATGATTTTGAACACCTCTATTAAATCTCCTCTCGAGCTTCTCTTCTCCAATGTTAAACCTCCCAACCTCGCCAATCTAACCCTAACGCTGAAGTTCCTCATCTGAGAAACCATTCCTATATTATGTTGTTTAATAAAGCAAAGATATCTACATTCAGTGTGGATGACCCTGTTCATTTGAGGAGTGAATTATAGTAAGGACGTACCTATTCTATCCAGAAGTGGAACCGGAACTTCAACTTTTAAACTTAAAGGTGAGAGGTATAAAATGAGCTAAGTTGACACACACAATCAAAAAGTAAAAGAAAGTTGTGTGATAGGACACAACTTGAACGTTGCTGAAGCTTTTCATCTCACACTCATCAGGACAAATGCAAGAAAATCAAGTTTCAAACGATGACAAAAATTAAGGAAAAGAGGGTGCCAATTGGTTGGAAAGTTGCCGAGGTGTTGCCAACCAATCAACATCCTTTTCCGTCATGTAAATTGATATGATCATTTGAAATTTGGCATTCTTGTGTCTATCCCCACAAGTCCAAGATGAAAAGTTTCAGCAACATGGTTTGTTTAATGGCAAAAGTTTAAGATATAAATTTAAAATGTCTATTATTAAAAGTGTAATTTATACTTGCATTTTGAAGTAGTATTATGGAAGATTCCTTACCTTTCCTCTTCAATGGCCCCAAGGCACTGGGTCGTATAGCAACACTCGGGCTGACACTTCTCCTGCTGTAAAAGCAAAGACAAGTCCAAATCTGGGCAGGCACAGTTCAATGAGCCACACTCACCCACAGCGTGTTACAGATTGCCGTGAATGGCTGCACTGAAACTGTCAAGGCATACTATACATTGAACCAGTGTTAATGAAAGTTTTGGTCCCAGTATAAGGGTGTACACCCTCCCTATAAAAATCAATGCACCTATGTGGCAGCAGACTTTAACCAGGGAACAAGGGACAATTCAGGAGAAGTAATGGTACAGTGCACGCAAGAGACACCATACAAGACAGGAAGAATGAGCTCAATGACAGTGGAGAGCTGGGAGGTGACGAACTAGGAGAGGTGTGCAATCTTGCTTTGTGTAAGTGTGGATCAAAAGGCATTAGAAAACATGTCCAAGTTAAACAAGGAGCACTTTTTAAAGAGACAAGGAATTTCTGAGACTGCAGGACCTTGTAACAACATTTGTATATAGACTAAAATCCAAAAGAACTGCGGATGCTGTAAATCAGAAACAAAAACAGAACTTGCTGAAAAAGCTCAGCAGGTCTGGCAGCACAAATGACAAGAAATCAGAGTTCATGTTTCGGGTCCGGTGACCCTTCCTCAGGATATATATAGACTGCTGTCCTACCCAAACTCTCAAATGCCCAACCTTCCAGGGCAGGACACAGAAAATGCTCTGAAGCTTTCCTTGAAGTGTAGCAGCATTGATATTAATGACTGGGAGGAACCTGCTAGCAACCAGGGTTTGAGTGAAGTATTGCTAGCAACCATTTAGAACGGTGACAACTTGTCCATCAGCTATAGCACACCGAGTCACAACATCTTAATGAGGAGGCATGGCAGCAACAGAGGAAGGAAAGAAAGCAAATCCTGCATTCCAGGTCCCACTACCCTGTGGACATTCTGCCGTACATTCCCAAAGATTAGTGGGTCGACAATCGGCCTGTTCAGTCACACAAGGATGTATGTCAGCAACTTAAGACCTTGAGTCGATATCACTTTGAATCAAGACCCCTCTGACAACTGACCTATCACTCCCCTTCAACTTCTCATGTACACTAAACTGTACTTCTAGCTTGTGCGCGATTGCCATTCCTGCTGACACAATGTTTTGTCACACTTAGATCAACATTTAAATGTGGAAATTCCCTGTATAAAAATCAAGCACCCAAATCTGCTTGCAAGCAGGTGCCTATAAATGTTACAGAAACAGGCACTCATACTAGTAGCATGAGGCCATTCAGCCCTTCCAGCCTGTTCTACCATTCAAGTAGATTATAGCTGGCCTGCATTTTAACAAAAACTGAATTAAGATACAAATCAGAAATGATCACATCTACTCACTGGTATGTAAAACCTACATTCAGCAAGATACGAGAAAATGGCACGGGTCCTTCACTTGTATTTACTGGTGATGACACGGAGATTGGTATTCAGAGCCCACGGCTGTAGTGTTGACACATCCTCAATACTCAGAAATTTAAAGGTACCGTCAGACTGTTTGGCACAATGTACTGAAAGAGGGGCATGTGCTTGCAGAATATAATTCAAAGTTGCCCACTGATCTCTGACACTCAGCATGTAATGGGATTTTTCACAGCTTGGGAGACTGAAAGACATGATGATATTACTCAAGGTTGGCTGCACAAAACAGTACTAATGACTGAAGAAAACTTTATTAATTCCAGGAAAATAAGCCCACTTAGCAGACAGCTCGGTGGTAAAAGTATCATGCCTTAGCGCCTTAGGCTCAGGAGAATTTCTGGTGATACACGCGTTGTAGAAAACATGTGGGGCCCTCTTACGACGGCTGAGGACGAAAGAAGGAGGGGCTTTGGCTTCTCCTGGAATATCTATTCTCAATTACATTAGGAGAAAGGGTTTCAGTTTTATAATTCAAACCAAGCCCACACCATCAGATTTGAAAACAGACAGGAAGCAGAACACAGTCTAAAATGAGAAAGTAATAACTCCATGAGCTATAATTCCACGGAGCTCTAAGAGTCCATCAATTCCTCTCACCTTGCAATACGTCGAGTGGGACTTGGAGAGGAATTTGGGGTGACGCCACCTTTGGGTATCAGAATCAGCTGTGATGATGAGAAATACTGCTGTAAAACAAGAAGGCAATCATTAGCTTATAGCAAACAGTTATCCTGCTGCACCCTTGATTACCTCGGTCTCTTTCATTGACTGGTGTCTAATTCTTGTTTTGAAAGTCGCAATTGAATCTGCCTCCGTCACACACTTCAGCAGTGCATCCCAGATTCTAACCACGTGTGGTGTGGTTTTCTCCTTGGTCACCATGCCTTCTTTAACCAATCAGTTTAAATTGGTGTCTTATTGCTCTTGAGAACGGGCAAGGGAAAACTCTGTCCAGACTCCTTAAAAGTTCATTGTTACCACCTTTTTCCTGATAAACAGGGACTCGTTTCGTTTGGGAAACTGGGTAGGCATGGATGGGTTGGACCGAAGGTCCTGTTTCTGTGCTGTATGACTCCATGAATATAAGCGGCTATTTTGGATCAACAGGAATAGTTTAATTTAATTTGGAGTCCCCATTGCTTATAGATGCAAGGCTACTTCTGGCCACTAGGTGGCACATATAAAGCTGCACCCTGCTGAATGAAACACAACTTTCTAGACACAGACAACAGAATAACTTTTATCAAAACTAATGATTTAAAGTGATCCAGGTAAACCCATGCAGTGATTCCCCACGGGGCAGCATGAGGGGAAAGATAGTCAATAGGGGAAGCAATGGCCTAGTGGTATTATCGCTGGACCATTAATCCAGAGACTCGGATAATGTTCTGGGGACTCTGGTTCAAATCCCGCCATGGCAGATGGTGGAATTTGAATTCAATAAATATCTGGAATTAAGAATCTAATGATGACCATGAATCCATTGTCGACTGTCGGAAAAACCCATCTGGTTCACTAACGTCCTTTAGGGAAAGAAATTGCCATCCTTACCTGGTCTGGCCTACATGTGACTCCAGACCCACAGCAATGTGGTTGACTCTATGGGCTACAAATGCTGCCTAGCCAGCGACGCCCTCATTCCGTGAATGAATGAAGAAATAAAAAATCCCAAATGCACCATGTGCCACGTAGCTCTCGCAGTGAGGGAGTTCTGACATTTCCCTGCCCCAAAATATTACGTGCTTCTTGCAACCTCAAACAACTTCTCTGATAAAAATGGCAAGAGTGCCAAATGTCTTATGAAAACTGTCAGCAAGCTGCTTGTTTTTCTGTGCAATCAGGAAACACAGCAACATTGCAAATGATGATTGCATACAAAGCATGAGTATGACAACTGTGACTTGGTGGGTAGCACTGCCTCTCGCCCGAGTCAGAAGGTCATAGATTAAAACCCCACTTCACAGGCTTTGGAGCATAATCCACAGCAACAATGAACAAAGTGCAGAACTGAGAGAGCGCTACACTTCTGTGTTTCAATGAAATTTAAGCGTCATTTCCAATGTTATTTTTGGAAAATTTAACAAAGATGACCAGTAGGGCTGAAAACCCCAGAGCGATCAAGTTCACATTAAAATTCGCCAAACAAGATATCGATGCTTACACATAACCGAAACAAGTGATAGGTGACTTAGGAATAGATTAAACACAATGCACAATCAAGCATGTCTTCATCGCGTGACACTAAAAAAGGGCCAACTCAGACTGGTATGCAGTGAGAGAACTCCTGTAGGTGTGTACACAGCACCATCAACATGCCAAGTTCTGTTTTCACTCCATCTGCTGCTTATCGCTATTTCTGCCAGATCTACTGTCACAGTGTGCCATACTGATCTGTCTTATGCCACCCTCACATCCACTGAAAATTGCCTGCAACCGCTCTGGAGCATACATCATCCTCCTGGGTCAACTCCTCTTTCTGCTGTCATCCACTTTGCCCTCCAGGAGCAATCCCCCTAGCTCTTAGCACTGATTGAATAATTGAAATATTGACGTTTACATTTCTAGGTGTCAACTTTTAAGTGTTTTTTTTCATTCTTGCAATTTTAAACCAATTTTTATTTGCTTTATGACCTGTATATGGAATGTTTAGAATACATCTCAGCATCCACATTCCAAACATCTATTATTTTCTTCTATCAGTCTCATTCTCCACATTTCTGGTGTATATGGGAAAGTGGATAGGGCACAGAATGTTTCTTCCTCATCACAAAATTTGAGTTTTATTGTTGTTAACACATCCTTCATCTTCACAAAATTACTCCCAGTGTTCTCTACCTTTCTTCTCAATTCTCTTGTCATTCCATACTAAAAAGTTTTGCATTCACACAGAACCTTTTACAACCAAAAGACATAAGTCACAGAGCTGTACAGCATAGAAACAGACCCTTCAGTCTAATACGTCCATGCCAATGAGATACCCTAAATTAATCCCAGTGTTTTCCAGCCTTTGTGAAAATGTTTGCAAAACAAGAAACTCAGCAGCTAATATCTGCACAGCAAGCTCCCACAATATCTTAATAACCAACCTCTTTCTGTGATATTGGCAAAGGAATAAATGTTGGCTTGGACACACCCCTGTTCATCTTTGAAAAAGTGGCTGGGGATGATTTACTTCTACTCAGGAGAACAAACCGCCTCGGTTTAACAGCTAATCTGCAAAGAAGAATATTTAAAGTGAAGAAGAGGAGGTAATTGAATCACCCTGGACTTCTCAAACAGCTCAATGATCTGACTTAATAATCTCATACTTGCTATCTTGACCCACAATGTCACAAGGCTTCTTGAATGAACCAGAAGCAGAAAGTACATTTAAGTTAGTTTGCTTGACTGCATCACTTTGCTTATTTTACAACTCTTCCACAGATGTAGAAGCTCATGGGAGGTACCCTGTTGCGTCCCGTGGACAATATTTATGCATCAGGATATATTACAGGATTACACTGTGTGCAGATTGAGTGCCAGTTTTCCTGTACAACAACAGGGGAGATACTTCTGTGGCTTCTGAGATACTTCAAGTTCTTCTGTGGCTACAAAACTGGCTTGGGTACATCCTGAGGTTGTGAAAGTTGCTGCAGAGATACAAGTCTTCCTTTCTTTCCCAATTCATTGCCCACCTTCCTCCCTACCAACCAAGGTCTGGCTAACGACTACAAGTATTTCAACCAACTGTACAAACCACCTGTCAAGTCTGAAGGGGTAAAGTCCGTAACTGCACTGCCAGATGCTTTTCACAATGCAAGAAAGGTCTGCAATGCAATTGATTAAAAATGTCACACAGTTATGTTCACATACTGCGGATATGTAACAGCATGGACTGATGGGCCTAAAGAAGGAACATTATAGCATTGTGACTTTTCTGTTTCACTGTGCCAAGATCAGCTCAACCATGAATTATAATGCGAGGTGTGGGAGTACTGCCAATTTCTAATTTCCCTCAACTGCACTCCTCAGTACTGCAGCAGGAGTTTCAACGTGCTCAAATTTACAACGTGGAATTTGAATTCACAACCTTCCGATTCAGAGGCAAGAGTGCTTCCCAAATGCTTTTGGGTGACGTTTGCAAACGAGAGCTGTCGTATCCCTGAATGCAACCTCAAAGTAATGCAAGGCTGTCACAAACTCAACACAGTCTCTTCTTAAAAGCAGCAAAAGAGCCAAATGGCTTGCATAACTGAAATTAATACAACAACTACCATCCCTACCTTGCCAATCCGCGTTGGAGAAGGAGAAGGAGAGAGGGGAAAAATATCCTCTCTCCGCAAAGTCAAAATCTGGTCCTCCGACTCAGCAGTCACCATCTGATCACACTGCAAAAGAGACATTAGCACCAGGTAGCCAGTATAAAAATCACCCTCTGCCCCATATCTTTCAGCTAAAACTCCATCGCCACACAACAAACCACCATCTAAGTTTACAATTTAACCAACAGTCAATTGATTATGTGTCATAATCTTCATTCACCTTGAGGCACTGATAAATCAAGGAAGGAAGTAGAGAAAAGTAACATACTTTCCAGTGCAACTTCAGACGTGCTGCATAACTAGCAACACAGGGCTCAAGTCAAGTCACCATAGTTTTACCAGACCATGGGGCTGCTCTCTCTTTAGAGAGAGAGACAACTGCTAGTAGTTTAACCTGACAGTCACCACACAGGCGAAAAAAAGAGGTTGAGAATAAGAGTTCATCATGGTAAATCCCAGCCAGTGCAAGGATTGAACCCACACTGTTGGCATCACCCTGCTTCTCCAACCAACTGAGCTAAAGTGACCCCAGGGCTAATTCCCACAGACAAGCTGCTCACACCTGGTCTGCCAGGAACGTGTTGCATTCAGTAAATATGTACAAGGGTGCATAGGACATTTTTTGCCAAAAGGATTAATTTACAAGAACAGGTTGGTCGACTTGAGCTGTATCCCACCAAGCATCAGAGATTAAAGGGTGATCTAATAGAGGTGTTTACGATAGTTAATGGACATGATTGAGTTGGTAGAGAGAAACTATTTCCTCTGGAGAAGGAAGCCCAGACCGAAGATTGCAGAATCTTAATTTTAAGAGCAAAACTGTTCTGGAGTGACGTCAGGACGCACTTCTTCAGACAAGGGGGAGTGGAAATCTAGAATTCGCTTCTGCTAAAAGCTGTGGGCCAATGAAATTTTCAAAATTGAGACTGATTTTTGTTAGGCATGGTGGATTAAGGGTCGCAGAGTAAAGGCGAGTGAAATTAAGAGTTTAAAAAAATGGAGCAGCCATAATCAAACTGAACGGAGGGAAAGGCAGAAGAGGCTGAATGGAGCCCTCCTGCTCTTTTGTTCATGTGAGTGGCCACCTGGGAAAGACTGTGGGGTTCAGCAAGGTGGTGATAACATTTTGAAAACAAAAACACTCCATATTTTCCACATAAACATAGCCAACTTTCCATTTGTCCTCATGAGCCTCTGAACTCACTCTTAATGGACAGAAAATCCCAGCCACACTTCCTCTCTTCCTCCTCCCCTGCACACAAAGGGGGAGTACACTGAATACAAATGATTCACCCTCTAGACTGTCTTTCATTCCTGATGATCGTGAAAAAAGCAAGTTGCTGAAAATTAAGTGTCCTTTCACATTGAGACAACTTCCCCCAGAGTCTCCCAGATAATACAAGCTAAAAATTTGAGGCTACTAAACCCACAAGAGAACAGAAAGAAGCCTCAATTTATTTATTAGTTGTCAGGTGCTAAGGTCTGCTTTGGGTTACTTACAAACGTGTTTTGTAAGTATATTAAGTGCAAAAGGATAACCAGGTAAGGAATAGGGCCCATTACGGACCAAAGTAGCAATGTGTGTGTGGAGTCGGAAGACATATGTGAACATTTAAGTGAGTACCTCGCATCTGTATTCAGTGTGGAGAAGGCCAACATAGATGTAGAAATGGACTGTGATATTCTTGAACAAATTAGCACTGAGAAGGATATGGTATTAGTGGTTTGGCAGGCTTAAAAATGGATAAATCCCCAGACTCAGATGAGATGTATCCCAGGCTGCTGGGAGAGGCAAAGGGGGAATTGCAGAGGCTCTGACATCAATTTTCAATCCTCTCTGGCCACAGGAGAGGTATTAGAGGACTGAAGGTCAGTCAATATGATACCATTATCCAAACAGAGGACAAGGAATAAACCAGGAAACTACAGGCCAGTGAGTCTGATGTAGGGAAACTACTGGAAAAAGGTCTGAAAGACAATATCTCCACTCGGAGAGGCAAGGATTAATCAAGGATAGATATCATGGCTTTGTAAGGGAAGATCATATCTGACAAAGTTGATTAAATTTTTGAGGAAGCAACTAGGTGTGTAGGTGAGGGTAGTGCAGTTGATGTAGTTTCCATGGATTTCATAGTAAGGCTTTTGAAAAGTTTCATGTAAGAGAATGGTTAAGAGGCCATGGTATCCAGGGCAATTTGGCAAATTGGATCCAAAATTAGCTTAATGGAAGGAAGCAGAGGGTGATGGTTGAAGGTTGGTTTCGTGACTCGAAGTCTGTGTCCAGCAGCATATCGCAGGGTTCAGCACCAGGTCCCCTCCTGTTTGTACTATACGTTAAACGATTTGAACAGGAAAACAGAAGGCATGATCAGTAAGTTTGCAGATAATATGAAAAATAGTGGTATGGAAAATGGTGAGCACAAAAGCCTTACACTATTGGATGACACAGACAAGCTGCTCAAATGAGCAGAAAAACAGCAAATGGTATAGAATTGTGGAAAAAAGTATTAGATGACGTATTTTGGGACGACCAATAAGGCAAGGCCATACATGATGAATGGTAGGACCCCAAGAAGTGCAGAGGATCAGAGGGACTTTGGCGTCAATGTCTTGATGGCAGCAGGACTGGTAGATAAGGTGGTGGCTTATGGGGTACTGGCCTTTATTGAGGCAAAGATTACGAGATCAGGAAGATCATGACGGAGATGTACAAGACATCACTTAGGCCACAGCTGGTTTACAATGTGCAGTTCTGGTCACCACACTATGGAAAGGATCTGATTGCACTAGAGTGCATGCAGAGGAGATTTACCAGGATGTTGCCTGAGCAGGAGTGATTTCCTACAAAAAGAGATACTCAATTGACTGGGGTTGTTTTCCTTCAAGCAGATAAGCACTGAGTGATGTGTATAAAATTATGAGAGGCAGAAGAAATCTTTCCCCTCAGTAGAAGGGTCAATAACAAGGGAGGCACAGATTTAAGATAAGGGACACGTGATTGAGAGGGGATTTGAGGAAAAATGTTTTCACTCAGGGGGTGGGTATGTATCTGAGAAACATTTCTAAACCAATTTTGGATCCAATTAGCCATATTAGCCTGAACCCCACTCTTACCTTTCTGACTAGTCTCTCACGAGGCCTTATCAAAAGCCTTTCTGTGAAATCCATGTAAACTACATCAACTCTCATCTACAAACCTAGTCATTTCCTCATTCAATAAAAGTTTAAATAAATGTAAAATTTTAGTAACATTTGTACAGACAGGATCCCTCACAATGTTTTAATTGTATTTAGATGAACACTTGCAATGTCAGAGCACACAGGCTATAGGCCAAGTGCTGAAAAATGAGGTTACAGTAGATAGGTGCTTGATGACTGCCCCAGACACGATGGACCAAAGGACCTTTTTCCGTGCTGTAAAACTCCATGACTATGACCGAGGTTGAGATACTCACCAATGTAAAACCATCTTCCCGTGAGCAGCTCATTTGCATAGCTGTGTGGATCCCTCTTAACAGGGCAGAAAGAGAAACACAAATTAGGTAGCAGAACACTACAATATGCTAACATCTCCCACCCCAAAAATCAACATCAGCTTCACGGCAGCCTGCTCTAAGGTAGATTAGAAAAGCCTTGATAATTTTCCACATCCACCAGCGGCTTGATGCAGCAGAATTTGGAAGGGACTAATGTATGTTTCCTTTGCAGTACCAAGCGTAATTCACAGACACTACCCAATCAAGGCTGATCAGAGGTAGTGTGAATATATGCTCATGAACATATACTCATTGAGAACTTAATGAGATGTGACAAGGGTGGAACTGTTTAAAATATTTCAAAAAACAGATAGTACAAGTGGGATTACAATGAGGTGCTCATAGAATCACACTGTTAGAGTACAGAAAGAGACAATTCAGTTCATAAGGGCTACGTCGCTCGTCAAACAAAATCAGCCCAGTTACTTACTACCATTCTCCTGTTTCCTTACACTTTCTTCTTTCTCAAATGACCATGAAATTTGCTTTTGAATTCTTCAATAGAATTTGCCTTCATCACACTTGAGCAGTGTATTCCAGGCAATAACTGTTGTGTGTAAATAAGTTTCTTCACATCACATTTACTAACTACTTTTAAACTGTGCACTCTCGTTCTCAATCCTTCCACGAGTGGGAATATTACTTAGTTCCAGGTTTCATCTTCACTCATTAAACTTAATTGAAAACCTCAACAATCTCACCACTTCATCACGTTAGCTGGATCAGATTACTCTCTGATTTGGCCATTTCCAGACACACACCACTCAAAGAGAACCCTCCTCGAGATCCTGGTCTAAACTTAAAGCAGCTGTAATTCTTAAAATACCTTGTTTACCCTTTCTCTGTCCCGACCACCAGCTTCAAAGTTAAAGAGCAAGTCAACGTCTTAATAGGGGCCAAAACAGACACAAGTCTGCAGCACTTTTGGATGAGCAATCACATCACTGAACAGCAAGCGATGTTGGTGGTGCAATCAGTCAGGAGCTCACTACAGAAATAAACAGATGTCTTCAAGTGTGTTCAAGAATAAACACTTCAATGTGTACATATAAATCCCATTCCATTAGTAGAATGAATTCCATGCTCCCACATCTTGGGAAGTTTCATACTGCATGATCAAACCATCAAGTAAAATCAAAAGATACCAAGAAACAGCAATTTGTTTAAAGAAAACATTTTCTATTTGCGTTCAATTCAACATGTATAGTACAAGAAATGAATAAGACAATCAAATACTTCAACCATCTCCGCACAAAATATTCCAACCAGAAACTCAGACACAGTGAACATCAACATTCAAAGACTTCCATCTACCCACATTTGCACTCCCACGTTGGCCAAAAAAATTTACTTTCTGCTCAACTGTTTCTAATTGGAATTCGCACTTCCATGTTTGCTATTACTCTACTTCTCCCAATGTTGACTTCCAAACATCAGCTCTTCCACAGCACTCATGCTGCTTGCCTTGTGTCTGGATTCCCTCCAATTTTAAGTCAATGACAGGAGTGTGCATACGCCTGTTAGGAGTGAAAGTCAATTTAAGGAGCAAATCGTGGAGGAGCAGAGAAACGGGTGGTGGAGTGAGAGAGGCGTGAACAATGTTTTGGTGTAGTTGCCAGGTACAGAGTCTTTGGAGATGCCGGCAGCATCAGGAAAGATGATGTGACCCATCTATAACATACACAGGTGCCCCCACACACTGACATGCTCACCACCTCAAACAGGGAAATGAGTACAGGCGGTGAATTCTATTCAGTAATCCTGCTGCTTCCTAGTGCTGAGACTATAAATACCACAAGAAGCCCAGGTCAAAGTGAGCAAGGGCAACAGTGGATGCCAGAGGTTAATGAGACTGAAACACAAAAGCAGTCTGACAAACACAACCACAGAATCACAAAATAGGTGAAAGATACAAGGAAACCATTCTACTCCTCCTGTCTGTGCTGGTCCTCTGAAAGAGTTAACCATTTAGTGTCACTTCCTAGCCTTCTCCACATAGCTCACCACATTCATTCTCATTGCTTATATTATTGAAACCCCAAAACCCCACAGTATTCAGAAGGACTGAACAAGGTGGACTTGAGAGTTTGTTCCTGCCAGCTGGGGTGTCTAGAACATTCTCAGGATAAAGCACCAATGATTTAGAACTGGGATGATAAGAAACTTCACTTAAGAGGTTGTGAATTCTTGGAACTGTCTACCTCAGAGGGATATGGAATTACATTATGTTACTGAATACACTTAAGATAATCAGATTTCTGGTCTCTCAGGGAATCAAGGAACATCAGGAGCTTGTGGGTGAAGTGGAATTAAAGCTGAAAATCAGCCACACTTGTAATAAATGGGAGAGGAGGTCCTATTTCTCGTGTTCCTTTTTTTGACAATGATCTAACTCCCTCATAAATACCTTCATCATTTGAAGAAAGGCTATGTAAGGAAGTCACTTCCAGATTTATTTTAAACTACGAGTGGTGGTGATCTGAAATGCACTGCCTGAAAGGTCAGAGAAGCAGATTCAATGGTAACTTTCAGAAGGGAACTGGAAAAATACTTGTAAATGAAAATATTGCAGGACTGATGCATGACAGGCTGGACAGCCTACTTCTGTACCATCCATGCCCAAAGGAGCCTTACCAACATATGGAGGAGTGTGAGGGAGATTTATTTTGGAGTGGAAGAAGGGAAGAAAGGAAGAGAGAGAACAGAGAAAAAGTGAGCACAACATCTAATGAGATGCGACCAAAAGTATTCTATCTGGATGCATCACAGCATGGTTTGGCAACTGCTCTTCCCAAGACCACAAGAAACTACAGACAGTCAGGAACATAGCCCAGTCCATCAAGCAAACCAACCCTCCATCCACTGACTATCTATACTTCCTGCTGCCTCAGGGAAGCAACCAACATCAAAGATCCCTCCACCCCGTTATATTCTCTTCCACTTCCAGAAGATATAAAAGTTTGGATACACATATAAATAGATTCAAGAACAGCTTCTTCCCCGCTGTTATTAGACCTCTGAATGGGCCTCTCAAACTTTAAATTTAATGCAACTTCTCTCTACAGCTGTAACATTGCATTCCTCGCTCTGTTCAATTACCCTAATGCACTTTATTTGGTATGATCTGCACGCAAAACAAAACTTTTCACTGTACACGTGACAATAATAAATCAAATCAAAGGCTCCTCAGAAATCATGGATTTTAACAAAGCAGACCGAGAGAGGAAAGTTTCAATTCCCAAACTCACCTTTCATGTGCAGCCTCCCGATTCATCACATCCATGCTCTCCTCCTGAAATGTAAAACAAGCAATTGCTTTTTACATCTGTGCTCAGGAATCAGCTGTGATCTCAGCCACCCTTCCAGGTAAGCTGAGCCATTAACTATCTTGCTCCTAAACAGCAATAGAATGCAGTGCCCAGCATTACACTCGGTCACACCCTCCTTGCCTGAGTGAAATACCTTTCCAGTGAATGCTGCCACTCTAATCGTATGTACCATCACACCATCTAGGGTGAATCTGTATTAGGCCATTACTAAGAAAGAGTGGAATGCCCCTGTCCTTACCTCCTTTTTCAACAGACCAAAACAAAAGTACCAAATAGTTTCCACTGATTGGTGTGATTGAGCTCAGCTATGGCTTTCTAGAAGAATCTGTTATAAACTTAATCCTACCAGCCTATTGCAGAAAGCAGACATCTAAATATTAAGTCATATGAATTGGAATGGGATATTTAGCCCTCAAAACTGCTCTGCCATTTACAAAGATCCTGGCTGATCTGATGCTGTTTTAACTCCATTTGCCCACCAGACCCCAAAGTCCAAGATTTCTTTGTCAATTGAAAATCTAATATAATGGTCCAACCATCACTGCTCACTGAGGAAGTAAATTCCAAACATTTATATGACTCCCTGGTCGAAGAGATTTCTCTTCATTTCCATCTTAAATGGGACAACCTTTATTCTGTCCATGAAGGGAAACATCCTCTCAGCATCTACACTGACAGCACCTTGCATGTTTCAATAAGATCACCTCTCATTCTTTTAAACTCCAGCAGGTATAAACCTAACCTGCTCTAACTTTCCTGATAAGACGATTCCTTCATCCCAGACATCAGCTGAGTGAATCTTCTATGATGCAAGAAAGATAATTAAAACTGGGCACACTAATGTATGTGTGGACTCACTGCCATGTACGATTGTAGTAGCTACTTCTATACTCCACATCTTGTGATGCGCATCGTAACATAACCTTGTGGGACCAGATAGGTGGATCATACAACTCTTTGGTGAGACCCCCCCTGGGGTGCTGCTTAGTGAACGGGTTTAACTCTGGTTTACGAGATTGATGGGTCCATATTCTCTGTAGTCTAGAAGAATGAGTAGGGATGCCATTGAGATACATGAAACTCTTAAGTGGCTCGACAGTAGATGGTGAGAGATGCTGACTGGAGAACCTAAAGTTCAGGGTTAATGTCACAATATGGGGCTGCCCATCTAGGGTCAGGTGGTGAGATTTTTTTCGGTCAGGGGGTTGTGAATCTTTGAAATTCTCTACCCCAAGGAGCTGTGGATGCTCGGTCATTGGGTTTTCAGTAAGGAAAGAAAATGATGGGAGATAGCACTAGAAGGTGGAGTTGTGATATACCTTATTGAATGTGAAACGGCTTGTAAGGCATTAAGTTATTGTATGGTTTTATCAATGTTAAGCTGCAGAAAGTCTACTTAATATGTTGGGCATAATCACCTTCAATTTATGATTAGTGATGTAATTTATTTTTATCCTATGCGTAACACGAGCAGTAGCACAAACAATTTAGATATGAACAGATCCTCCTGTATTGGTCTAATCCATCCAGGTCTCCTCCAGAGATCCGCGGCATCACAGGTGCAGTCCTCAGCCAATTCAATTCATTCTATGTAATACCAAGAAATGGCCAGAGACACGTAATTCTGAAGAGGCTATCAGAGAGAATTTTCTGGCAACAGTACTGAAGACTTGTGCTTGCATCCCTAATGCAATTACAACTACAACACAGGCATCTACCCAGCCACGTGCTGTACACAAAATGCAGGACAAATCCAGCCCCATCAGAAAACCGATGGAAGGGGTCATCAATGGTACCATCAAACAGCACTTGGAAAGGCAGTAACCTGCTCATTTCTGCTCAATTTGGGTTCTGCCAAAGCCACTCAGCTCCTAAGCTCATTACAGCCTTGGGCCAAACTTGGACAAAAGAGCTGTTTCCAGATGGCAAGGTAAAAGTCACTGCCCTTGTTATCAAGGCTACAATTAACTAAGTGTGAAATCAAGAAATCCTTGCAAAACTACAGTCAATGGGAATCAGGAGAAAAATTCTGTACTGGCTGCAATCATATCTGGCGCAAAATGATGATGTTGGTGGTCAATCATTTCAGCTTCACTACATCTCCGCATGAATTCTTCATGGGTAGATATTTGCTAATCAACCTGTAGAGAAGTTAGCACACCTATAAAGGATATGGGACATGAATCTAGGACTCCTGGCTCAGAGATGGGGACACCACCACCATACAACAAGCACTCTCGAAGTTCCTCAAGGTAATGCCTTAGGCTTAACCATCTTCAGTGCTTCACCGAATACCTTCTCTGCAACGTTCAGATACTGAAGCACTAAATGTCCAAATGTAACAGGACTTGTACAATACCCAGGTTTGGCTGACCAGTGGCAAAGAATGGTTATTTCTAACAAGAGAGAATCTAACCAATGCTTCTTGAAATTCAATTATGTCACTAAACTCCTCCAGAATTAACATTTTGGGGGATTACCACTGACCAGAAACTGAACTAGACAGCCACATAAATACTATGGTTACAACAGCAAGTCAGAGACTAGAAGTCTTACAGCGAGTTACTCATTTCTTGACTCCACAGTGCGTGCCTGCCATCTACAAGGCACAAGTGTGATAGAATACTTCCCACTTGCCTGGATGAGTGCAGCTCCAACAACACGAGAAACTCGACACCACCCAGGACAAAGCAAATTGCTTGACTGGCACCACATCCACACAAGTAGCAGCAGTAAGCATCATTTACAAGATGAACTGCAGAAACTTATCAAAGCTCCTTCCGTAGCACCTTCCAAACCCATGGCTAACACCCTCTAGAGGAAATGGGTGACAGTTACATACTACCACCACCACAATCAAGTTCCTCTCTAAGCCACTCACCATCCTGATTTAGAAGTATACGGCCATTCCTTCATTTAGTGTGTCAAAACCCTGGAACTCCCAACCTAACAGCAGTGTGGGTGTATCTCCACCAAATGGACTGCAGCGGTTCAAGAATACTGCTCACCATCACCATCTCAAGAGCAATTAGAGATAGGCAATAAGTCCTGGCCCAAACTGGCTATGTCAGTTGTCAAGATCTTTTCTGGAGAGGTAAAAATTTGTCCTTCAGCGATTCAGGAGGATTAACGAAGACTCAGCTAATTGCCTTGGCAGAAAAGTTGGGAGCTGGTATTTAAAGCAAGCCCTAGGAGGGGAGAATGTATTGAACGATTAGACAGCATTTGAAAGTGGAAGAAAGAGAAAGCAAACTAGATGGTAATTTGGCTTAATTAGCTGGAATTTAATTACAGATGAAGCAGCTTTATGTAGCAAATTAAAAAAGAAATATGAAAATGTGAACAGGAAAGAGACTTGAAAGAAAACTTAAGAGTATTTAAGAAGCTTGAACTAAAATTACAAAGGGGAAAGAGAACAGGAAACAGAAAAGAGAGCAAGAGAGTAAGAAAGAGAAAACAAGCTTAAAAGGCTGGAACTGAAAAAAAGGATCCACTAGAGTCCTATGAACCTTCTGATGAGGAAAATGAGACAGCCAAAAGAAAACAGGAAATTATTCAAGAAGACTGACAGAGATAATTTATTAAGATATTACCATTAAGTTTCTGAGGAGGCCTCTACAGATTACGAGATAGCAAGAAAGGCTATTCTTGATGCATATGAGTTGATCCCTGAGGCATGCAGACAGAAATTTTTTTTTATTATTCATTCGTGGCATGAGGGCATCACTGGCTAGGCCAGCATTTATTGCCCATCCCTGGTTACCCAGAGGGCAGTTATGAGTCAACCACATTGCTGTGGGTCTGGAGTCACATGTAGGCCAGACCAGCTAAAGATGGCAGATTTCCTTTCCTAACGGATATCAGTGAACCAGATGGGATTTTCCCAACAATCAGCAATGGATTTATAGTCATCGTTAGACTCTTAATTCCAGATATTTATTGAATTCAAATTCCATCGTCTGCCATGGTGGGATTTGAACCCAGGTCCCCAGAACATTACCTAGGTCTCTGGATTAACAAACCAGCAATAAATCCACAGGGCCATCGCCTCCCCCAAAGTGGAACTGCCAGAAGCAGCTTGCAGTTAATTGTAAGAACCTACTTACAATTCTAAGCAGCTACACAGAAAACCAGATGTCTTCAACAATTGGACACACAGCTGAGATGGCAAACGATTAAAAGATTGTCAACAAATCCAAACCCATTTTTCATCACCCCACAAACCCAAGATGGAAAGAAGGTGGGAGATGAAAGGAAGGCACCTTCAATTCCCAAGACAGCTGGAAACACCCTAGGATCTCACCCTAATGCCAGACGCAAAGGTGCTGAGTAGAACTGATGTCTAAAAACCTACATGTTTCCGTTGTCACAAGGCAGGACACCTCTGTATGGATTGCTGGCAGTTGCAAGATAAACTCATGGAACTTACTACAGCACACAGATCAATGCAGAAAAAGGGATCCTGACCAAGTGCGACCAACCAAGTTGTAGTTCTGACTGTAGATGCAAATCAAGTATAAATATTGTTGTTGAGTGTGAGGGAGGTGAACAAGATAAGGAAGCGTTACAGGGAATTTCCTGTCAAAGGGAAAAGTAACTCCTTATTTCTCAGATGAGGCGGGTAAACTTGTATTTCTACTTAGGGATACAGAAGCCATCCAAACTCTTTTGTTGGGGAAACGCAAAGCATTTCCACCAAAAAATGCTATGAATGCCAGACATTCGTGACCGGTAGTAGTGGGCTGTATACATATGTACCTTTGCATTGGGTGCCCCTAGGGTGTGACCAATGCCTGGAATGGTACTGTGGGATTTGTCCATTGTTTGTCCATTGAGACCTGCACAAGAAGTCAATATTCCTAGGGAATATCTGGCAGGACTGAAAATAGTAGCTTCACCAATAGTCACGGAAAGGCCAAGTAAAGTCAAGGAGACAAAGTCATTGCAAGAAAACGTTTGAGGAATTTTTCCTTCATGCATCATACCCCAGCAATGGCTAAACAAGTAACGAGACCAAGCACAAACAGATATTTGGTGATCTAAAATTTTCTTTGAGATTTGAATAATCTGAAGGAAATGGCCAGTAAGTTTTCTCTGATTAAGGCTCAACAAGCCAACCCAGAGTCAAGTTGCACAATTGGCTCAACCCAAAAGTGAAGCAAAGAGTGTTCTAGAATATTACTAAATTAAAAATGAAATTTTGATGAGGAAGCGGAGACCGTCTCACAGACCTGCGGATGAAGATTAGACAATGGTTCACCAGACTGCAGTGCCATCCAAGTATCGTCGGGAGATATTAAGGAAGGCCCATGCTATAAGCATGGGTAAGTTATCTCAGACCTACAGGACAAAGAACAGTGCCGCAAAGAGCAGCAAAAGTACAAGCATTCAATGAAGTTCTCTATACACAGGACTGAATGAGAAATGTGTGGTTTCCACTGCATGTTTGTATGAAATTTTCACACTATAGTTGCTCTACTGACTAACTGCAGCAAAAAAATGATTGAGGGGCGTCTTCTGAGAGGTCCAGAGCAACCCAGTGTTGGTTCATCTTTTTTCACCAAGTCCCTCAAGATAGCAACTGATGCTAGCGAACTAGGTTAGATGGAGCCCTGCTACAAGAAGATGGGGTAGGTATAGGGAAACCAGCAGGATATTTATTCTAAGAAGCTACAGTAATAGCAGAGGCTCTCTACAATGGGAAAGAAACTCTGGGGGTGCTACTGGATGTTAAATATTTTGAAGCAGATGTCCATCAGAGCCACGGGGAGACACTAACCTATACTGATCATAAGCCTTTGTGGAAAAATTCAAAAAGCAGAATGTCAAATTGCTTCAATGGAGTTTAATATTACAGCCTTATCACAGTCCACATTGAGGAAAACAATGTATTTTTAGATGTTTTGTGAAGAGTTTAAGTTTCTTTAAGTTCTCTGAATAGCAACATGGTACCAGGCAAACTCTACCAGCTAGCTATAAAGAGTAAATGAGAATGAGAGATTGAATGTGTCTTCATTTTATTTTTCAAGCTATATTTTGTTTTTGTTTACACTTTGAAATGAAACACATTTAAAATCATGTTTCACTTTTTCAAGGCACTTCTGTTCTTAAGATCTTTTAAAGACTGGCATGTAAAGGACTGTGAAAAGTTCTTCAGATGAAGTACCGGAGAAATACCTGACTGTTTCTTTTAACAGAAAAGGTCACCACGGGATATTTTCTTTTAAAAGACACTTACTGGAAGTCAATGACCTTGGCTAATTACTTGGACTTACTGGAATTATTGCGGTAATTATTGCTGTCAGGAGTTATACATATTTTAATATTGTTTGGAGTTCAGTTGGAATATAACCTGTGAGGAGGTAAACACCCAGCTCAATCTTTGCCATCTACCTGACAGACCCTGAAAATTCCAATTCTTGAATCTTTAGATTCCAAAAAAAGCTGAATAACTGAAATAGATATTCTCCCAGTGAAGCCTCTAGACGATCCCCCTCAAAATCTCTTGAACGAATTGCACCTGAAGAGATCTAAGGGACAAGCGCACATGTCTAATGACCTTCATCTGTGCCTAGTGACCTGTCACCAGGATTCCAGACTGACAGCCATTTTGAACATTTATATTTTGTATGTTAAATTCCCTGAGAATGTACAAGCAACTGGCCAAAGTGTTTTTTCCATAGTTAAATTCTGCAGAGAATATTTATCGTTTTCACTGGTGTGTGTTGGTTATTTAGAGAGATAATATTTATACATCAATTTTTTTCAAACTCCTTTCATCAGATTTGCACCCAAGTCAGCCTTGTTTTCAGAAATTAATAATTTTGTTGTTTACTAAAAAAAACCTAGTTGATGAATCTTTTTATTCTGAACCTAATGTAGACACATTATATAACTGACTATATCAGTAACAATAAAATATTCGAATAAATGTTGGAACCAGTGAAGTAGTAGGACTAAACAGACACAAAAAGTGTACTTCTTCAACCTTGATCGTAACAAAATATACACGCAGGATAACCCTGAGCGAGAAATGTATCACTGGAAGTGGGGTAATTACAATTGATAAGGATAAAGGGAACAGTGCCAGGTTTCTTCTGCATAGTGCAAAGTTCAGCCATAGCACATACTGGGGAGGTGATGGCCTAGTTATATAATCGCCGGACTGTTAATCCAGAGACCCGGGTAACATTCTGGGGACCCAGGTTCAAATCCTGTCACGGCAGAAGGTGAAATTTGAATTCAATAAAAATCTGGAGTTAAGAGTCTAATGATGATCATTGTTGATTGTTGGAAAAGCCCATCTGGTTCACTAATGTCCTTTTGGGAAGAAAACTGGCCTACATGTGACTCCACACCACATCAACGTCCCCGACTTTTAACTGTCCTCTGGGATGTGCAATAAATGCTGGCCTACCCAGTGATGCCCTTGTCCTGTGAATGAATTTAAAAAAATTATCACCTACTCAAGGGCAATTAGGCATTGGTAATAAATGCCAACTAGCCAGCAATACCCATATCCCGTGAATGAATATTTTTTGTTTTAGAAAGCCCTAGTGGCAGTAAACTAAAAAATATTTGGAGCTTTAAAACACATTTGTTTTGCTGCCAGCTAAATCCAACCAATTACACACAGATGCTAATTATTTCAAGAAAAAGGGAACAATTAAGGACTTTTCGATTCTTGACAACGGATATAAAATTTACGCAAAACTGATCTACCATTCTCAAAACAGAAGTTTACCAATTATTAAAAACAATGCTAAAATCATTTTGATAAGTGAGTTGATGTAGGTTCATGTCAATTGCTAATTGTACACGCATGCTGTGCACACCATGTCATGCATCTGTTGGTAATGGCACTGCCATATTGTAAAACAGCTGACCTGAAGACACCTAGCCTGTGAAGCAAATATCTTGACTTTAACTCGATTGGGTTTTAGGCACCAGACATGAAAAGATTACGACTTACCTGCCTAATCTGGTCAATCCTGCTGCTGAAAGTTCGGAATGGTGATAGCGGGAAAGACTGGCGGTATAGGGAGGGAAACAAAAACAAAAGGTTCGTCATTCAACTTGCACATTGTGTTCCTAATTAGAAATTGACCTGAATACTTAGAATTTATGTAACAAGCTAAACTTTGGAATCTCTGTTCTGCTGAGCAACTGTGAAATGAAGTGGGATTTAAACATAAAACAGACAAGTGAAACGATCAAAACAAATCAGGTGAATCCTCATTCCACCTTCCTGCACACGCAACACGACTACAAACTCCTACATATTATGTTTCTTTTCCTGGTTTGGTTTTCCAGGCACGGTGGGACAATTCCTTCTCTTGCTTAGAATACTTTTACAAGTATCCCAGCCAAATAAGGCTGCACATGCTAGCATGTCTAAATGCCAAGGCACCATTTCATTTCCTAGCCTATGCAGTATCATCGGTTCTGAGATTGTCACATACTGTCAGGTCTGCGAATCACACTGCACACTCAGCATGGAAGACAATCATCATACATCGCGCCAACTGAAAGCTTGGATGAGCTGAAAATCAACTCTTAAGCATGGCTGGGACAAAGAAACTGATCTGCCACCCACATCCCACGAAATTTCACTGTTTGTTACGTGAGCATCTCATTCATTCCTGGTTCTAACTCCGGACTTGGCCATTCTAATGCATTCCTGGCTAGTACCCCACGTTCCTATTTACTATAAATTCAAGGACATCCAAATCTTTACTGTCTTGTTTCTTAATTTGTAGGAAATCCCATTCATCCATTACCCTTGTACATGCTGACTTAACCTGGCTCAAGGTCAAGCAACAGCATTATTTTAAAATTCTCACCCTTGTTTACAAAGACCTTCAACGCCTCACCCTCCCTATTTCTGTAACCTTCTTCAGCATCACAACCCAACAATCTTTCCTGGACCACCTACATTGGTGTGATGGTCAAGAAAGCACAACAAAGACCTCTTCCTTCTCAGGAGGCTAAGGAAATTCAGCATGTCCATAAGGACTCTCACCAACCCTTACAGATGCACAAGAGAAAGCATTCTATCTGGATGCGTCAAAGCTTGGTACAGCAAGTGCTGTGCCCAGGACTGTAAGAAACTACAGGAAGTTGAGAACATAGCCCAGACCATCACGCAAACCAACCTTCCATCCATTGACTCCATCTACACTTCCCAATGTCCAGGAAAGGCAGCCATCATTAAAGACCACTCCCACCCAGTTGTAATCTCTTCCAAACCCTTCCGTCAGGCAGAAAATACAGAAGCTTAAACACATGTACCAACAGGTTCAAGAACAGCTTCTTCCCAGCTGTTATTAGACTTCTGAATGGGCCTCAAATTTCAAATCTAACACTAGTCTTGCTTTTTGTGCACCTCCTTTGTAGCTGTAACATTGTATCCTCACTCTGTTCAGTCACCCTAATGCACTTTGTAAGGTATGATCTGCCTATGCTGCACACAAAACAAAACTTCTCACTGTACATAGGTACACGTGACAATAATAAATCAAATCAAATCAAAACCTTTAGACCTCCAAGCTGTTCTCATTCTCTTGGACATCACCAATTTTAACCACCCCTACAATCAGTGGCCATCCTTTAAGGTGCCCAGCATCCAAGCTCAAAAATTCCCTCCTCACACTCTCCACTTTGTATTCCTTCTTTAATTCAGTTCTTCAAACCCACCTCAACAACACAACACGAAAGGTCGCTAGCAACCTGAAATAAAAACAAAATGGTGGAGAAATTCAGCATATCAGGAAATATCTGTGGAGAGTGAAACAGAGTTAAGACTTAAAGTCCTATTCCTTAGAACCCTTGAAACTCCTTGACTAAGCTTTTGGGCATCTGACTCAATATCTCCTTCTGTACCTCAGTTACATATTTGCATTATAATATTCTTGTGAAATGTCTAAGAGGAGGTAAACAACTTGTGAAACCTTGGGGCTTTTTATTAAAAAAAAGCTTGAACAATAGAAGCAGCCTGAAAGGGTGTGGTCAAGCTCCCACCCACAGAACCAAAGATTTTGAGTTTTCAGCAGCAGTTTCAGTTGGGCTCTTGAAGAAGTGGAAGCTATTTTTCCCTCTCTCGATTACAGCCAAAAGCTGGGAGTCCGCTTCCTGGGCTGCTGGAGTTGTCTGTTTTCTGAATTTGCCTTTTGCCAAGGGTGTGTTTATGGGATGGTACTATATTGGAACAGCTAATTAGTGATCTGTTATTCTGTTAAGTTTTCCAATAGAGTCAACTTATTCCACGTTCTTCTTTCTTTTGTTGTATTTTAACCATAGTGTTTGAATAAATTTGTTTTGCTTAATGTTGAATAATTTAACCAATTGAATTGCATCTAAAACACAGCACCTGACATTTATCTTTAAAATAAGAATAAGTTAGGGTCTAGGCTATCTTCTTAACATATTTTGAGAGGGTCTGGTCTGGTCCATAACAATGCTTAAGCCTGTATCCTTCTATTCACCAGAAGCAATGTCATGGGATCGAATAGTTTTCGGAGGTTTTAGTTCATTTCTTTGGTAAGCACTGATCCACAGATCTGTCTCCTTCCAGGGAAAGCCCACTGCTGTCAGTGGCCTAGGAGCACCTAGAACTCTTGCTGCACACTCCATTACACACAGTTGCAACACCTGCCTGATGCTTATGCAACCTCTAGCGCTCATGTCCTTGTAAACTGAAAACTCTCTGAGGTTAGTTGTAGCAGAAGGGGGGTGGGAGAAAACAGTGTCACAGTGAGAATGAGAAATGGTGACCAAACCATTGACCAAGTGGATCTTGAAGCAGGACATGGAGTGAGTCACAAAAACAACTTGTGCTTAAATATAAAAACAGATGGAATGTATTCATTTCATAGAACACCGGAGTATCTGGAGTAATAAGTGCAGTCTGGTCTATTGCCTAAGGAAGGACGTGGTTGCCATTGAGAGAGCGCAGCAGATGTTCCCCAGGCTGATTTCTGGGATGATGGGCCTATCCCATGTAGAGACTAGACCTGTATTCTCAGGAGTTTAGACGATTGAAAGGCAAATCTCAGAAAATTACAGGATACCTAAAGGGGAGAGACAGGACATTTCCTCTGGCTGTGGGATTGCAGAATAAAAGGCAAGTAATTTAAAACAGAGGTCAGGGGAAGCATCTACAGACAAAAAGCTGCGGAAGGTCAGTCATTAAGAATATTCAAGACAGAGACTGATAGATTTCTACATTCTAATAACATCAAGGAATACAGGGATAGCACAGGAATTTGGTGTTGAGGTACATAGAACATAGAACATTACAGCGCAGTACAGGCCCTTCGGCCCTCGATGTTGCGCCGACCTGTGAAACCAATCTGAAGCCCATCTAACCTAAACTATTCCAATATCATCCATATGTTTATCCAAAGGTAGATGACCAACCATGTTCCAGAACAGCACAACAGATTCAAGGGGCTAAATGGCCTACTGTAGCTCAGCACTCAAGTCTGTTCAGACGTTCAGGAATATCATAGATGATCAGCGACCTAGTTTCATAACCCTGACTTTGTCTTGTATTCCTTCAATTTGGCTAAAAAAACACTTTTGGTCTCAGAAAAATTGACCCTGCTACACCTGGTGTTTGTGGAAGAGTGTTCCAAATCTCTGCTGTGCATATAACTTTCAAAATGGGAAAATTCTGTGGCAGTACAGGAAAAGGCAAAGGACTGGCATTAGGTGAATTGCTCCTGTGGAAAGTTGGCTAGTACCCGAGGAATGGAACATCCTCGCCCGTGCTTTAGTCATTCTTGATATGAAGTAGGGCATGACACACTGACATCCATGGCCTTCACATGCAAGGGAACCCAACTGGAATGATGCCAAGTCTGGCATTTTCTGAAAGGGCTGAAGTGAGAAAGGAAAGAAACAGCAGCCCCAGCTCTGAGAACCTTTGTATATCCATTGCTACCAGACACAAGGAAAGCACGACAGGGAAGAAGAGGACGGACTGGGATAGGCACTCAGATCAGACAGGACGAAAGAAAGATATACATTTCTGTCAAGCCTCTTGTGACTTCCTGAACTCACGTGCCAAAGCACTTTATAACCAAAGTGGTATACTTTCCTTCGAAGAATAGTCCTTGCTGCAGAGCAGAGAACGATGGCAAATGCATGTTGGAGTTTAAACAAAAGTCCTAAAATATCTGAAGACAAAAAGAGGTATGGCAAAGTGCCAACAAGTAATCAGCTCAGTTTACAGAGCAGAACAATTTAGGAGTATTACGTCAGCTTAACTCAGTTGGCTAACATGCTGCTCTGTAGTCTGAAAGACATAAAAATTATTAGAGTCCATTATTAAAGCCTCCTGGTGGCCTTGCCTCTGTATCCTCCCACAAACACACACCTCAAACAAATTCCTGCATTCCTCCAAATCAAATCGACTGTGTTTCTCCCACTCTCTTCACCCCATGCTGTCTTCAGCAGCTGAAGACTTAAGTTCTAGCATTCACTGAAGAAAATCTGCATTGAAACTTAATTTGACCAAACTTTTGATCATGTCCCTAACACCTTCTCTTGCTGAGTGCCAAATTTCTGTGTTAATTCTGCAGAACATCAAGACATTTCCTCACTTCACTGGCACTACATAAATGCACATCAGTACTGTTGCACCATGAATCTCGAGTGTCACGGTGTTAATTTTATTGTCGATGGAACAGAAACAGAACTATTTGGGAAAGTTAAGCCAAATAAAGATTGCCCAGTTACTGTTTGAGCAGCTCATGGAGAAATAGGGTTGCGGGGGGGAACATTCTGATTTGTCAGGAAGAGTAATTCCCAACTCCAGAATAACTTGGTACCTGAAACAATACACAGACTGAAGCCTCTGCGAAGGAATGAGAAAACCGAGGTTGCCTCACTTTACTCACCGAGCTCGGACAGCTGAGGTTTACTGAGGCACTGCTCCTCCGACACCGGAGCGACGTTGGCTGAAACACTGGAGATGAGTCGCTGCAAAAAAAAAGAGATTAGCCAGTGCCTCCACCAAGGACTCAAAAACAGGGCCTTACTGTTTTCAGCATCAATGTTCACAGGCCAAAATACAGTTTGCTTGTTTTGGACCAGTCACAAATATCGAGATGCATCACGTGCACAGGACAGACAAGAAAAAGAAACAAAGTAGAATACAATGCACAGTAAATGCTTCCCAGTTACCTGACTTTAACTAACACTTGTGCCCGATATCTCGTGCCCACTATGTTAAAAGGATATACTGTTCAAAGCTCAGGTATGTATTTCACAGCATGGAGGGATTGTTTCTGACAACACTAATAGCTACAGAATCCAAACTCACAAGAGTATGCCAGATTTTCACTCTCTTCCAGAAAAATCAGATGATCTGTGTCTTTGGAAAATTCCTGAATGCTGATTGTTAATAATAGCAAGCATCAATTTCAAGTTACGATCCTAGTGCATTTCATCTCTTAATCTAAGAACACATGACCTGTTGTATAATCTCACAATCAGTGGCCATGTTGGGACCACCCAAGCTTGGAGATATGCAGAGTCACAAAGTCAAGGTTCAACATGCAAGGTCGCGTGCTTCAGCTTCCACAAAGCATACCATTTGGCGTATGTAACTCCTGAAGCAAGACTGCCTCAGTCAATGTATGTTCCTGCTAGTTACTGACAGCAGGACATACTTAGTAACTCACATTGTTTGGTTCATAACTACAGTGCCACACAAGGTACAAGTTAGACAAGGGGCTAAGTTTGGTCCCAGTGTATGGAAGTGTATCAGGTCAGGTACAGACCGCTGCTGTTGGCCAAACTGTTCAGACAGGGATCCAGCTCTAGATTTCTATCCCCGCAGGAATAACAGGCAGGAAACAGGACAGGGTGACAGCTGGATTTGCAGTGCCGTTGCTTGTGGTTAATAGTCCATTAATACTCACCGTTTAGGCTCACACATGCAGAACGATCAGGGAGCCGTTCGTTCCTGTAGGATCGTACCAGGGAAAGAGACAGCGCTTTCCAAAACACAGAAAGCCAACACAGGCTCTCCTCCACGTCTCCTCTATGGAGAGAATCATACTAACAGCTGTTGCTGCATGCGCAGCCAGTGCTGAATGTTCCAAACACGGATGCCTCCTGATTGGAATCCAAGACGATGGCAGTCAGCCCGATTTCCAATCGGACTGCTCACCAACAATCCTGGATCTGGCAAGAGCTAAGATCGCTTCCAGTGATGCCAAGTCCAGAAATGACAGAAATGCCGGAGTGTAGACACTAATTTTGCCTCATGCCACAAGCCATTGGCGACCCTCCAGCATCTCTGCTCGCCTGGCTGATCATCACAGAGCCATCAAAACAACAGACTGGTATTTTCAGAGCTCCAGTGGCAGTAACATCAGCCAGGGCTAAACAACAGGTTAGACAATAATTATGCATCTTTGGGACAAAGATCTGGACCCCATTAAAAACCAAGATTTTCACCTATTTAGAGCTTTCAATGTGTTAAAGTGTTCCTAGACACTTCATAAAAGGTACAATGTGACCAAAATCAAAAACAGAAATTGCTGGAAAAGCTCAGCAAGTCTGGCAGCATCTCTGGAGAGAAATCAGAGTTAACGTTTTGAGTCAAGTGACCCTTCCTCAGAATTTCTGATTTACAGCATCTGCAGTTTTTATAATGTGACCAAGTCTGATACCAAGTTACGCAAGAGATAGTAGGGCAAG